CARCAGCAGCAGCRAGACRCCAACGACCAAAACCACCACCAAGTTCCAGCGGACGATCCATCCCAACGGCAGCGGCGACTACCGCATCAACGACCGGGTCGTCTCCTACAAGCAGTACGAGGAGAAGCTGGCCAGCATCGGGGTGCTGGTGAAGGCCCGGAACTTTCTGGTCTTCCAGGGCGACGTGGAGTCCCTGGCCCGCAAGTCGCCGAAGGAATTCGTCGMCCTCCTCGAACAAATCTCGCAGAGCGCCGATCTGAAGGACCCCTACGAGGCGGCCCTCGTGGCCAAGGARGAGGCCGAGGCGGAGGCCCTCTTTTCCTACAACAAGCAGAAGGGGATGAAGGGGGAACGCCGGCTCCTGAAGGAGCAAAAGGAGGAAGCGGAGCGCTTCGACCGGCTCCGGGCGAACAAGCAGCAGCTGCTGACGGACTACTACCTCTGGCAGATCTACCACATGGAAACCGACCGAGAAGAGCGGGAGGACCACCTCTCGGAGCTCCGGGCCGAGGTGGAGCAGGCCGAGTCCGCCGAGAAGGARCAGATCGCCGCCCTCAAAAAGGCCAAGAAGAAGGCYTCCAAGGCCCGGCGGRCCCACCAGGAGGCCGACTCGGAGCGCGTCGAGCTGGCGGCGAAAGCCGACGCCCTCGAGCCCTCCCTCATCAAGGCCGAGGAAGAAATCAAGACCTTCCAGAAACAGATCGCGRGCGACGAGGCGCAGATCGCCAAGCACCGCAAAAAGGCCGAAACCCACGAGCAAACCCTGGCGGACCTCGACGAGGCGATCGAGGAGCAAACCAAGAACCTGAAGGATCTCGGCGACGAGTACGAGGCGGCCAAGCAGGACGCCCTGCAGAACGACGACCASCCCACCCTCACGCAGGCCCAGGAGGACGAGTACGAGGCGGTCAAGGAGGCGGCGGCCGCCGCCAGCGTCCGGCCCCGGCGGAGGCTYCAGCAGATCGCCCGGCAGCTGGAGTCCTCCCGGGCGGCCGCCTCCGAGGCCCAGAGGCAGCTGGACGAAGCCAGGGCCCACACCAAAAGTCTGACCCGGGACCGGACCGAGCTGCAGACGCGCCGGGACAAGATCCAGAGCAGCATCCAAAAGACCGAGGCCGACCGCAAAAARGCCCAGGACGAGCTGAGGGAGGCCAACCGCCAGAACGAACAGGCCAACCAGCGCAAGGCCACCATCGACCTGGAGCTGGAGCAGATCGCCGCGACCCTCCGGGACGCCAGGGACAACCGACGCAAGAGCCGGGACGAGGAGCGCCTCCAGGACGCCATCAAGGCCCTCAAGMTGCACTTCAAGGGGGTCTACGGGAGGCTCGTCGATCTGTGCCGACCGACCCAGAGGCGGTACAACCTTGCSGTTACGGTGGCCGCCGGGAAGGACATGGACGCCCTCGGTGCGTTTTCGACTCGTTGTGCACTGCGCATCGCATCGTGTGGCATTGCATTGTGTGTCGAGATGTTGCTGTCTTGTTTCGATGGCTTTGGTGTTGTATTTGTATTTGTGTCGCGATTTTATCTCGTGGCCTCGTGTCTCTCTATCACTCATCTCAAAGTTTTTTTTGTCGTTGTGATTGTCGTTGTTATTATTGTTGTTGCCCGGTGTAGTTGTTGACACCAAAGCCACGGGCATCGAATGCATCCGGTATCTCCGGGAAAACCGCATCGGAACCGCGACCTTTTTGCCCCTGGACAGCCTCCAGGCGCCCTCGAGGGAATCCACGGAACGCATCCGTGCCCGCCTGGCCCAGGACGGGCGCTTTCGGTTGGCCGTGGACGTGATTTCCAGCGATCCCGCCATCCGCAAGGCCGTCCTCTACGCCGTGGACAACACGGTGGTTTGCGACAACCTCGACTCGGCTCGGCAGCTGTGTTTCGGTTCCGGGCGAAGAGGCGGTGGAGGAGGACAAGACGGCAGGTCTTCCATCAAGGCGGTCACGCTGGACGGTGCCGTGATTTCCAAAGCGGGAACCATGACGGGYGGTGTCACCAGCGAGGAATCCAACAAGGCGGGACGGTGGGACAACCAGGCGATGGAAGACCTCCGCCAGAARAAAGAAGCCCTCGAAGACGAACGAAACAACCTGGATCGAAACCAGAACACGGCGGGACGTCAATCGATGGGTCGGTCCAATCGCATCGAGGAACTGCGGAACAACTACGATTCGCTCAACAACCGCGCCGAGTATTCCAAGAGCGACATGGAGTTTACCMGCAAGGCACTGGCCGAGAAAAACACGCTGCTCAAGTCGATCGAGCGCAAGGTCCCGCAGCTCGAGGAAAAGGTGGCTCAGCTCGAGAAGGAACTCGAATCGCTGAATGCTACCAAGGAGAAGGCCATCGCGGAGGTCCACGCCGCCAAGGACGAGCACCTCGGCCCCTTCCTGGCCGCCACGGGGCTGAAGGACCTCGAGTCCTACGAGCGGGCCACCYGCGAGACACGCGACGAGTTCAACCGMAACAAGCGGCAGCTCGTTGAGCACATTGCCCAGCTGGAAGAAAAGAAGAGCTACGAGTCCAAACGCGACCTGAAGAAACCGATCGCCGCGGGAGAGAAACGGCTCAAGAACCACCAGAAAAAACTCACCGATGCCAAGGCCCGCCAGAAAAAGCTCAAGAAGGAAGGAAAAGCAGCGAGGGAGAACCTGGAAGCCGCGGAGAAAGCCGTCACCGAGGCGCAGGAGATCGAGCTGGAAACCGAAGAGACGGCGAAAAAGCTCCAGAGCGAGTTCAAGGAAGCACAGAAACAGAGGAACAACGTGAGCAAGTCGGTTGCCACGGAAGAGTCTGCGCTGGAACAACTCCGCGGGCGTCTCGCCGAAATTCTTCAGCGGGCTCGCTTGGAAGAAGTCTTCCTTCCGGTCAAGGGTGCGGCGACTTCCGGCAGAACCACTCGGTCCGGCCGCCAGATTGGTGGAGGGGACGATGCCAACGAGGAGGAGGASGACGACGACGAGGACGAAGAGATGCYCGAAACCCAGGAAACCGACCACCGAATTCCGTCCGCCACCCAGTATTCGCAGGAAGACAACCCCAACGTGGTTGCCGACAAGAACGAGGCCGCAAAGCTCGATTTCGGCAAGCTCCGCTCGGACCTGAAAATGCGTCTGTCGAGTCGGGAGACGGCGCAGGTCAAAAAGGACTTTGAAGAAAAGCGCCTGAAAGTCGATGCCGAAATCGAGGGCATCGTTCCAAACATGAAGGTGAGCAGTAGGCAACGTTGTTGTAAAATCTTGGACTGTCGTTGAGAGTGTCGGTCGTTTCACAAACTCTTGCTGTCTTGTTTGTCTTTTCATACTTGTRTTGTGCAGGCCCATGGCGCTTTTTCGGCCATCACAGAAAAGCTGAAAGGAACTGATTCCGATTATCAGCAGGCCAAGGAAAAGTCGCGAAAGGCTGCCGCAGAATTCCTAAAAATCAAAAAGAAACGCACAAAGAAATTCCTCGATGCCTTCAACCACATCGACAAGGCTCTCAAGACGATCTACACGGACATGACGAAATCCAGCAAGCATCCCCTGGGTGGCAATGCTTACCTGACGCTGGACGACACCGAGGAGCCTTTCAAGGGAGGAATGAAATTCAATGCCATGCCACCCATGAAGCGATTTMGGGATATGTATCAGCTGAGTGGGGGAGAGAAGACGGTCGCGTCTCTGGCTCTTTTGTTTGCCATTCATTCGTATCACCCCGCCCCGTTCTTTGTGATGGACGAAGTGGATGCTGCTCTGGACAATAGTAGGTTACGYTAATGCCTTGCATGGTGTTGTGTCTTMRAATGGATCAATKTGTGGCTTCGTGTAGGTTTGATCCCTTGTGCACGGCACGTCTTTCTCACAACCCCTTTCTCKCTTTCTCCTCAGTCAACCTGCGAAAAGTTTGCAACTATATCCAACAACGCAGCCAGGTAGACTTTCAGTGCATCGTCATTAGCCTGAAAGACATGTTTTACGAACGAAGCCAGTCCCTGGTGGGCATCTGCAAGGACGTGGGGACCAATTCGAGCCGCACGCTGACCCTGGACCTTACTCGGTTTGACAAGCGAAAGCAAGACGAGGASGAAGAGCGAGCCGCGACCGACGGGAAACGACGGACCAAGCGCAAGGCGAAGAGTGAGGGCCAGTCGTCCTCGCGGAAACGCCTGGCTTCGGACAGCCCCGGAACGATCACAACTCAGTAGTTTCGCTTCGTTTCGTTCCGCACAGCTTGTTTCACAACAATCGCTTGGCACCGCCCTTTCGAATGCGTAGGTAGCGTACAGTTGCGACTGTGGGGATCGTCGCAACTAGCATCAGAAGGCAACGCCACTCCAGTGTTTACAATGTAGTGTTTTGCTCTTGCGTTCAAACGCCATGCAATGYAAATGCAATACGACACAACCCTTTACATTATCACGAGTGCATAATACTACAGTAAATTGTATTCTAAGAAAGAAACTCGTACTTTTTTGGGATTGGGACTTGAAATAATGTTGAAGTCTCGCACCATGTGACCCCTGAGATATTTCCCGCGAGAGATAGTTGATCTTACTGTACGAGAACCTAMTATTAAAATTGGTGGAAGGAAGTTTTTGTACGTTTGTTGATATCACTTGCAAGACGATATGGCTGTCGCCTGTTTTGATTACCTGTAGTGACGTATGCGCTGATGGCTACAATAGACTGTAGCGTTCAGAACGAGGCCTTGCACATGAACTTTTCACAAGCAACTCGGCAGTAGAAAAGGTTGACATAGAAACAAAAAGGAACAATGTCGCTATCCAACAATATCATAGACARCATTCAACTATASAACACRCACTAGCTGTGCGAACRAAAGCGATTTTAAATTTAGGTTGGCGAACGTCWTCCGCAGTGTTGTGTGATGTTCRAAACCTTCGGGTCTAATGCTCTTCGATAGGTCGCTCCTAGCGCCACGCCCGGTCGCTGTCGCGCCGGCTGCTGCTGGGCTTGTGATCCCGATCCGCCCACGACCCGCTGCGGCTCGGCCGCGGGTTGGACGACGAATCCCGGTGGGAATCCCTCCCGCCCTTCCAGTGGCTGCTGGCGTTTCGAAAGGAAGACCGATCGGCAATGGCATTCTGGTGGGGCTTGTACTCCATGCTCGCGTAGGCGGCTGGTGGCAGCTGTAGGACCTTCTTCACGGCGTCGCGCAGCCTGTCTACCATGTCTCTGTCGGCGGCGGTCTTGTTCCAGATGCCCAATATGTCCTCGGAATACCTGATGGAAATGACAAGGCCGCAGATTTCACCATCGGGGATGCCCGGGAACTGCCCACCGATCARTGCCAGGACAACTTCTTCCCAGTAACGACTCGCTAGCCCCTTGGGCAGACGGATCTATGAATCGATTGATCGAACGAAGAAAACGCACAAAACAAATACAAGAGCCGAGAGAGGCGCGGGAAACCAAAAGCAAAGCGGTTGAGTGACACAACAAAGAAAGCTGGAAAACCKTCATACTTTGGGGCAYACTACGGCGCATTCTACGGCACTTTGTTCTGCTTTTCGCTTCGTTCCGCTTTGTTCTGTACTTACGATCCATTTTCCACCCTTSGCGTTCTTCGAGTCTTCCCAGGTGGGTTTTATTCCGTCCCGAAAGAAATGGTAATCCGTGGTGGACGATAGATCGTTCGGGCGCTTCAGRTAATTGTAGGTCGACCAGAACTCTTCTACGCTCTTGACGACAGATATGGCTTTGATCGAGTTTTCGTACGGATTCGGGGTTGCCGTGGTGGTTGCAGCTGCATCTTGTTTTTCTTCGCCCGCCTTGTTGTCGCTGCTGCTGTTGGTAGCTTCTTCGKTGTTCTTKGGAGCCTTTCCGCGGCGCATGAACGAAAAGGAATACGCGCAATTCAGGGGGGTTCCTTCCTGTTTCCGACACAGACGGATGAAGGGTGCGGTGCGGTGCAGTGCCGCGTGATGCCGTGTCATGCGCAGCGATGGGGTTCAGATTGAAGGGCAGTGTGGGGTGAGCAAGTGTTGGAACGAATCACATRCAAGACAATAAGTGCACAGGCCAGAAGGTCACCGACTAGTGAATGGGACAGCGCATYCTAGGCCCACCAAGCAGTCGATGGACCGAGTGATCCACAGCCGATGATACGCGAGCCATCAGAAAAACGTCAACAACACATAATCCACTCAAGTCCAATCCAWTAACTCAATTGTGACTCCTTTCCATACTTACGACGGCCATTGTATAGGGATAGCAGTGTTGATTTAAAGAMAAGATTCGTTCCAAACTGTATCCAGAGAGAGGATGGGTGTTGTGGTTATTGTTTGCGTTGTGTTGCACGGTGTTGTTGGTGTGCTTGGGTTCCCAGTTGGTTAAGGACACCAAACTTTTCGTAGAGAACGAGGACTGTACGATGTCTGTCCCGTACGAGTATTTACCTGTAACGGTACGAATATTACAAGCATAGGAATTGACTAGTACTTCTTGTTGGGTACGAGAACTCGTACTGTACTACTTTTTCGTTCGTTTCATGGGGTGATCATCTTTTTGACAATTCTCCTGGTTCGATTTGWGATGCTGATTTTAGGGGAAGACGCTCCTGGGACCTGATCAAGTCGTTGTGCGCTTTCTTCCCCCCTTTCGGGTCAGTGTCCTCACAMTCCCAACCTATCTCAGTCACGAATTACACCCACCACCCATCGTGGTGCACAAAACCCACGCTTGAGGACTGACAGAATAATTTCGAACGAATGAATCGATGGAATGGATTGTTCCTGCTCCCTTCCTTCCCATCAAAAACAACAAGCAAAAGGTTGACTGCTCGACAACGAGCACGAGAACAGAGGCTGCTGAAGAACGGGGACGTACCACTGCGGTATCAACAAAAGCTRGTTCTGCACGCATTCACACGCAGAGTGTTCGAAGTAACAAAGACAACAACTATGGACGGAGAGAGCGGGGACAACGAGCTGGATCGCCTCTTGGACATTCTGAAGAATCCCGAAAAGAGRATTTTGCCACTTCTRTGCTCTAACGAAGACGARGAYAATGGGGAAGCGCCAAACAAGAACGACACGATYTCGGAGCTCCTCGAGATCTCGAAACGCCTTTTCCTGGACATCGARWCCATGGGAAAGCAGTAYCAGGCCCTGCACGAAGCGCAAAAGGCTTCACAACGGGGAGACGGCGAGCGTGACCGCAACCTCGACCCGCTTTCGTCKTCMTCGGTGCTCTCGGGCCTCCAAGAGCTGYACATCCCTCCAGATGTGGATGTTACCGACACCGACCTTCCGGAAACCATCTTTGGCCAGGTCGATCTGCAGAACGTCGCTTTGGCGAAACTCGTCAAGAAATCCACCAAGCGACTGAACGCCGCGAGCACGGACGGGGACGACGCCATTCGGCTTCTWGACTTGAGCATCGTGGACAGCGATGGCGATGATGATGACAGYGACAGCGATAGCGATAGCAACAGCGACGACAACAGCGACGACGGGGAAAATGAGGCGAGCGAAGCCAACAGCGATGACGAGGACGAGGACGACGAAGCCGAGCGCATCCGCCGCCGTATGGAACGCGCTATGGAAGACATGGAAGAAGAGGACGGAGACAGCGATGGGGAAAGCACCGAGGGACCGGGAACAAGAAABCAAGCCGAGCCGAAGAAACCAGAGGAAGAGCTCTACGATCCGGTCGCGGAGGACATGAACGATGGCTTTTTCGATCTCAACGAAATGGAGGAATTCGCCGACGAAGAAGAGGACTTTCTGCCCAACGAGGCCTTTGGTCAACCCTCGGACGACGGGCSAGCGAAAAAACAGAACAAGAAATCCTTCCACCAGCGGCAGAGGGAGGGAATCCACATGGACGACGACGACGACAGCGATAACGAACTTGACAGTGACGACGACAGCGACGGGGGCGGACTTTACGAGGAAGTGARGAGAGACGTCAAGCGCAAAAAATACCGCGACCAGGAGGACATCGACGCGCTCTACGAGCTCTATCAGGAAACAAATCCKGAAGACGACGACGAGGACGATCTCGACGATGTAGTGAATATGACGGCGGCCGACTATTTCGGTGCACCCCGGAGGAATTACATGGAACGATACAAAAAGAACCATCCCCCGGCGAAACCCAGCCCTAGAACCAATGATGGAGATGACGACTCCTGGGGGGAGTATGATTTTGAGAAMGAGGACCAGGAGGGTTGGCGAGACGAAAATARCGATGATGGAGACGACGACGACGAYGAATTGGAAGACATGAAAGACCCGGCACCCGGCGAGGGTGAATCCGAGGAACTGGAAGCCCCGRGAAGATCCAACGCCGACACCTCCCGCAAGCTCTCGAMKGAGGACGAAAAGCTGCGGAAGCAAACAGACGAGCTAGAGAAGGAACTCATCAACGAAAAGCCCTGGCAGATGAGGGGYGAATCCAAGTCCGGATCCCGCCCCGTSAATTCCCTGCTGGAGGGGACCCCCGAGTTTGAAATGGCGAGCAAGCAGGCCCCGATCATTACGGTAGAACACACGATGAACCTCGAGGACGTCATCAAGGCGCGGATCCTCGCCGAGGACTGGGACGACGTTGTGCCGCGCGAGCTTCCGGACGTTGGCTGGAACCAGAAGAAGGGGGAGGCCCCCGAGGTAAGCCAGGAAAAGTCCAAGCTCGGTCTCGGAGAGCTCTACGAGCGCGAGTACCTGAAGAAGGCCGTGGGATACGACAAGGACGCCGAAGAGAAGCAAACCGAGGAGGACAAGGCGAAGGACGAGATGAAGATGCTCTTTGCGAATCTCTGCAGCAAGCTCGACGCCCTGTCGAACTACCACTTTGCCCCCAGGCCGATCGCCGACGAAGCGGAGGCCAGGCCGGTCACCGTTCCCGCGATTGCCATGGAGGAGGTCCTGCCCCTCCAYGTCAGCGATGCCCGAGGCGTGGCCCCGGAGGAAGTCTATGCCACCAAGAGGGGGCGGGAGGGAATCCTCCGTGCCGACAGCGAGATGGACCGGGACGATCGCAAGAGGCAGCGCCAGTCCAAGAAGGCGGCCCGCCGCAAGARACGAAAGGAAAAGGAGGCAGACGACAAACTCATCTCGCGGCTGCAACCGGGGCTCGGACTCAACAACCCTTACGAGAAACGAAAAGCGAGGGAAGAGCTCGCTCTCGCGAGGTCGAGGGGCAAGGTCACGGAGGGAGAACGAGAGATGGATGGGAAATACGGCTCCAGCGGGACGTTTTTCAAGCGGCTGCAGGCCGAGGCACAACAGACCATACAAGAYCGGTCTTCCGGTCAAGACGACGCTCCGCAGAAAAAAACAAACCCCAGATCCAGTGCCTACAAGCTGTGAGAAGATTGGTCGAATCGAATTGCTATTCCATTTCTTGTACTGCGGTAGCAGCTCACTGCTGCACCAATAAGAATCAAGTCATTTTTTCCACAATCGTCGCATTCAATGTAGAATAGAATAKTCCTSTGCTTGTTTCGCACCATGATCATTTTTCTAGAAAACTATGCGACAGAAAAGCGAGAGGCACACGTCGCACAATATAYCCTGCTTYCTATCCCAGAAAAGCGCCGCGTTCCGTCAACAATTGTGCTAGTATTTTCGATCCGAAAAAAAGAGAAATCCCAATTTTTCGCCACCGGATTCAATCGGTTGATCTATCTGGCAAGACATAYTCGRGAATAAACCTATAGCTTTTGGTTCCTCTTCCTGAGCTCCTCCGATATATACGATATGTGTTCCGGGGTGATTCCGCAGCATCCCCCCASGATCCGAATGCCAAAGTCGTCGATCCACACCCTGACAAAATCCTCCCAGTATCGTTTCTCACCAAGATCGGTTCGGGCGGGCTGGGGCCCCTCCGATCCGGCCAGCGTCCAGTTCGGATCAATGTCCGTCAGCGTGTGGGCGTAGGCGCCCAGCAGTATGCCGTCGCGCCSCAGAGCGTCGATCAGGTCCGCGTCGGCATGGATCCTCTCGAGGGCCCTGGTGATCGCTTCCGGTCCGCAGCAGTTGAAGAGAATGGCAAGCACTGGGCAATCATCGGGAACAGAGCGAAGGAATCCGCCGTGTTAGTTCATCCAAAACAGCTCCCTCTRTTGACATACACTACAACACWATCACAATCACAGCCACARTCACAACACAAGACACCGTCTTACACTCGACGCCGGGCCGTTGCTCCCCCGCGCGTTCCAGAATCCGCCGCAGGCCTCTCGAAAGGTCCTCGCCGTCCCGGAAGTCCCCCCCGGACCCGAGCGAGTACGACACCAGCAGCGGCCAGCCGTGGCCCCCRGGGGGGGGCCGCTTCGCGGCCGCTTCCGCCAGCCCCCCCAGGACCTGGAGGGACTCTTCCACGCAGGACATTGTCTCGGCGAGAAAGGCGTCGGCGTGGGGGGCCAGCGCCAGGCAGGCCCGCTCGTAGTGCCCCACCCCCTCGCGGCGGGGGAGGAGGAGGTCCGGCCGGTAGGACTCCACCAGCGGCCCGAGGGATCCCAGGACGAAGCGGGCGTCCGGGAGGGGKGGATCGCCGTGCCCGTGATCGCGGYAATGCTCYTGCACGGCACGCCGGGCAATGGATCCGCTCCGGTCGGCGAGGTCCTCGATTTCTCCCGCCCCGAGGCCCACCCCGGGCACCACCCCGTAGCTGTTGGTGGTGAYGGCGTTCGAGCCGCWTTCGAGAAAGGAGGCGTGGACGTCCCCGAGGACGCTCTGGTAGGCCTCGTGCGCCGGCAGCAGGGCCGTGGCRCTCCACAGCCTGCGATCGTCGGGAACCCCCCTGCGGAAGAGCTCCTCGCCGGTGCCCCCGTCCAGGAGAAAGACCCCGCTGCGAGAGCTCGATGCCTCCAGCGCGAGAAAGGCGTCCCGGAGCAGCGGCCGAGGGTTGTTGGTTTTGTTGTTGGTGGTGGTGGTGTCTGGTGCTGTCGGTGCTGTTGATGATGCTGGTTTTGTGCCACCGCTCGACGAGGAAGACGACAACGACGACGCCATGGTGGTGGCAAAAAGGCAAAGCGAAAGCGCTTGGAGTCGTTTTTGGTAGGCAGGAAGGCTGCGATAGAAGTAGTTAGCACGCGGAAAGCAACTTCCAAGCAATGCTTTCATAGTCCAGAATNTCTAGCTCTAGCTAGTCATTATCAGTATCAGTAGTACTACTACTTCATGAAAAACAGAAGTAGAAGAAGAAAAAGTAATACCAGTTGTTGTTGTAATTTCAGTACTAAATATACTACTGCTGGATTACTATTACTTCTTTTTCTCAAACTATTTCTATTTTTCACATAGTTGTACTTCTACTATGTGACATATTACTAGATGAAAAACAGAAGTAGTAGCAGAAAAATTAATAGTAGTAGTAGTTGTAATTTCAGTACTAGATATACTACTGCTGAACTACTACTACTTCTTTTTCTCAAACTATTTCAATTTTTCACATAGTTGATATCTTTAGCTCTACCTCTAGCTCTAGCTCTACCTCTACCTCTACCTCTACCTCTACCTCGTATCGTTACTAAGTATTACAGTCTAGCTCTAGCTCTAGCTTTAGTAGCTCTAGCTTTGACTCTATCTCTACTAGCAGCTCTTATCAGTATCAGTTTTACGCTACTAAAAATTACCGTCACACCACCAAAGTGTTTGCTATGGTAACTAGTAAGAATCATAATATCATGTGATTGATCATGCGTACTACTGCTGTATCAATATCAGTATCAGTAGTTGTACTGCTATGGTACTATATGAGAAACAGAAGTAGTAGCAGAAAAGAAGTACTAGTAGTTGATGTAGTTTCAGTACTGGATCTACTACTGCTGAACTACTACTACTTCTCTGTCTCAAACTATTTCAATTTTTCACAATTCTACTTAGCATCACATACTAGTACCTCCCAAGACACTAATACAGAGGAATATATCTTGCCATTAAGCTCATTTAGTTAGTAATGTTTATTGAAAGCACTTATTATTCAATCTATAAGGGATCAGTATTACTGGTACTACTAGTAGTAGCACAGTACTAGACAGTATTCAGTATTTGTATGTTTGCAGTACTGTACTGTACAGTAGTATCGTACGTAGAGTATGGTACATGTGGAAGCCTGTGAATCTGTATGTACGTAAATACTTACATACGGTATGTACCGTACGTACGGTACCGGTACATCCATACTGTACATTCCCCCCCCCCCACGTCTGTCCTTTTTCCGCCCAGCACGTGCCCCCTGCGCGCAAGCCATCTCTTTCTAATCCGGTTCTCCATTTTTTCCCCTGTTAAGTAAGTGGGAACTGTGTGTGCAGCATGAAATTTGATACACCCCTTTTGTTTAAACCTGTATTTCTCCACAATCCAATGGACCATCCGACTTCTTTTTTTAATAGTTACATGTAGTTTTCCTTGAAGTTTTCAGCAATGTGCTCAGAGTTTGGAGGGTCCTTCTGGTTGTGGAATTTTACTGGTTCGAGTATCACCCGTTGCGCGTGTGCGCAAAAATGGTTTAATCTTTTCCAATCAGCCAGTACGGCGTATGACAAATATTGACTGATATTTGTTTACATATCTTGAATTGCTAATGTACGGTTATATCCGTGTTTTTTTGCTTGGCCCACGCTATACGGCTACCAAAAAGCTACTTTTAAGTAGCTTAAAAGTAGCTTTAAAGTCGCTATAAAGTAGCCTAAAAGTAGCTTTAGAGCCACTTCAAAGAAGCTTTTAAGCTACTTTAAAGTAGTGTTTAAGCCACTTCCAAGCCACTTTATATTTGCTTAATTAAAAGGCCTGATTCCCGTAACCCCCCCACTATACTTAGTAGGTAAATGTGGGCATGTGGCTCAGTAGCTTTGCCATAGGTCCAGTAGCTTGTTAAAGTATCCGGTAATGAGTCGTTTCGGAACGTCCCTGACCCAATGCAATGATCTCAACAGCAGTACTGGTGCTGCAGGAGTACTGTAACAGCAAAAGATCAGTAGCATGGATGGACTGGTGGGGGCAAGCAGTACCTCTGAAGAATGGATGCATTCTAAATAGATATGCAGCTGACCCAATGCAATGATCTCAACAGCTGTACTGGTGCTGCAGTACTGTTGCAGCAAAAGATCAGTAGCATGATGGACTGGGGGGCCGGCAAGCTCTGAGGAAGAATGAACACATTCTAAATAGTAGGTATGCAGCTGACCCAATGTAATGATCTCAACAGCAGTACTAGTAAATATAACAGCAAGCTCATCCACAAAACTAGTTCAGTACTACTGGTGCAACAAAAGATCAGTAGTGGCATGTTGTCATTCGGGTCTAAAAAATTATCTTGCAGGGGTTTCACTTTACAGTTTTTGAAAATAGGTACTATACATACATATGGAAAATACATACACACCATTACAATACGTACAAAGTACAGTACAACAAAAAAGGTCTGGTTCGACTTCCACTTGCAGCGTACCGCAAAAGACCTAATCCTGTAATCCAGTTGTGCCAATTTGTTGTGTGACCCATTGGATTAGAATATTTTGAAACAAAGAAGCAAAGCCAAAAGCCAATCGGTACGTTCGTAGTTCATACCCCAAACCCCAAACCATATGTTCATACCTCCTAGGTACGTTCATACCTATACAGGTATGTTTATACCCTAAAGGGGTACCGTATGTTCTTTGTTCTTACATCTAACATCTAACACACTTACAAGCTTTGCACTCCACGAACGAATGATCTCATTCACTAGCTACTCGTGATTGCCGTGTAGTGACTGCCTCACAAATCGTACGATACTTTACGTACCCGTAGGCGTACCCACCCTTCGTACGAGTAGGGTACCGTACGAACCGCTCAAGCTACTACGGATCCGACGGTATATTATCGCAAAAGATACTTAATCTCGTGCACAACTCTTACTTCTACGAGTACGCGTACTCGTATCGAGAGAAGATTGTACCGTAGAATGGAATCCAAAGATTTCACTCGTCCGTCTTCTCTCACAGAAAAAGCTACAACACCAAACGGCGTCCGGTCAAGGTTTCCYMCAAACGAAAACCACCGGGCCGCGACACGAGATTCTAKCCCGTCGCGACGCCATGGCGAATTCGGATTCAGGGGCATTTGTTCTCCGGAACGCATCCGGGGCCGCGAGAGATCTCGGTCCGGCGTGCCTTYCGCGGGAGGACCCCCGGGACGGCGGTCRGTCCCGGCGTATCAATACGAGAGTGGCGGCGGTTGCGATTGCGATTGCGATTGTCTTAGCAGCAATGGTGGCTGCCGCCGGCTTGYTCTCCCCGACGAAAGAACCYKTCGGGGTGCAAGAACGGCTCCGKWCGTCGGCTTCGAACCCACCGAGCCGCGCCAGCCATTTCGTRGACTTTGGACGCGTCGTGGCCGTTTCGAAGACGACCGCCACCCTCCAGGTCGTCTCCAATCCCCTGCTCCTCGAGAAGTACTCCCCGATCGCCCCGGTCCTCTTTGACAACCTGGAGAAGCTGAAGGCGGACCTGGTCCGGTACGCCGCGTGGTATCCCTACCCCGAGGTCGGCGTGGCGGAGCTGGAGCCCCCGGATCCCGAAACCAAGACCACCTCGTGGAGGTTCGGCGAGGACCTCTCGGAGGTCTTTTCGAGGATCTGGAAGGCCGTGGTGGCGTCCGGGRGCCACCGGGACCGGCACGGGCATCTGGTCGTCACCTTCTCGACCCAGCCGGCCTGGATGTTCAACACCACCGACTGGTCCTACCCTCCGGACCACAACACGGCGGTGGCCGATTTCGAGTACGACAAGGGAGGCTGGATGCCCTCCACCACCAAGCTGGTCGCCGACTATTATTCGCGCTTTGCCGAATGGCTGGCCACCGGATCCTTCTTGGACGAGTTCAACCACACCGTGGGGGGCGGCCCGGCCCTGGGCGTCGGCGAGGGGGGCCTCACCCACTGGGAGGTCTTCAACGAGCCGGAGRCCGAGCACGAGCTGACGGTCGATCAGTACAACGAGATGTACGACGCGATCGTCCGGGGYATCCGCGCCTCCRTCGATCCGAACAGGACCATCCGGTTCTTCGGCATGTCCCTCGMGTACCACAACGAGTGGGACCGGTGGAGGGGCTTCCTGGACCCGGAAAACCACGCCCCCGACGTCCGGGACGCGGTGGCCAGCGGGTACGCCAGCTTCCACTTCTACGCCAACACGCCCTCCCGGACGAACGCCTCGTCCTATCCGGAGGCCTGGCCGCAGCTGGACGCCTTTCTGGGGGAGGTCGAAAGGATCCTGGARATCCGCGACGAGCTCAGCCCGTCCACGATGCTCGCGGTCAACGAGGCGGGGGTGATCCCCCCGGAGGACAACTCCCCGGACGCCCCCGACCTCCCCCCGRTCTACTTTCGCTTTGCGGCGGCGGTCTACGCCGTCCTCTGGGCCGAGCTCTCGGAACGGGGGATCGACGTGGTGGGATCCTCCCAGTACTGCGGGTGCCCGGCGATCCCCGAGTGGGGCATCCCGGACCGGATGTACCCCGGGGTGAGCATGACCAACTGGACGACCGGGGATGGGAACCCGCGGTACTGGGTCCTCAAGCTCCTCAACTCGCACTCGATGGGGCCCGGGGACGAGATCGTCCGGACCACCACCAACCTTGGACGCAACAGCGGCAGCGGCAAAAGCAGCGAAAGCCTGTACGTGCAGGCCCGCATCACAAAGGGGGAGGATCCCAAAGAGCTCCTGGTGCTGGTCAACAAGTCCTACAGTTCCAGGACCCTMCGGTTCACGGAAAAGAGCAGCAGCGCGGACGACACCTCTTACGCCGTGAGCCTGGTCGACGAGACCACCGGCGACGGGCCCTGGAAGGAGTTTGTGGTGACGTCCACCTCTCCCCGGCCCTACTTGGTCCTGCGGCCCTTTGCGGTGGCCGTGGTCGAGGTTCTCGACAGCGAGCGCTCCGGAGCCGGCCGAGACGACGGAAGAAGCGGCAAAAACGACGGCGGCGGCAATCGCGGGGCGGACGCMACCCCGGGGAGCRGGGACCACGAAGCGGTGCGCCGCGGACCCCGCCGGCACRGGCTCGAGGTAAGCCTCGTCGAGGGGGTCGGGGMCGCCGATCCGGAACCAGCGCGCGAGTGAGACACGCCACTCACGGATTGGGGGACGGCAAAGCGAACGAATTTGTGTGCAAGAGCCACGCGGCCCGCGATCCTTAGGACTSTGCGACGAGGGTGGGTTGCAGCCTGCCACGACAGAGGACGACCACAACACAACACCTCTGCAAGAYATGGCAATGCCATGCTGSAGCAGAGAATGGACCGGTACGGTATTTGGATTTGGACTCCTGTCCATTCGAACCATCGGAATAGTATTCTAATTATAAATGTATGCCATTGCTAATAGTTTGCGCCGCGGTCCGCGTTCAMCCGTATATAATGAGGACCAGCAGCACCAGCACYACGATCGAMAGCACCGCGATYAGGCAAAAGGTCGAGCCCCCCCCGCTCCGGGCGATCAGCTCCTTGGTCGACCTCGTCACGATGTCAAGCTCGTCCCCGGCGTGGTCCAGGTCCGTTTCCATCGCGTCCAGCATCTTGTTTTGCTGGCCCAGCTCTTCCGAGATGTTGTTGGACATTTCTCCCAGCCGAAAGATGGACTCGGACAGCATGTCGAGGCCGGCGTCCTGCTGCTGCATCAGCACCTGCTGGTTGCGAACGTACTCGTCRTGGTCGTCGTTGGCGCTGCCGTTTCCGTTGTGATGCGTCCCGTCCTCGACGCTCTCGTCGTCGCTGAAATCGTCGAGGCTGAGCTGTGAATACTTGCTTTTCSCCATTGTATTGGTGTTCAATRAACGCAGATCACGRTCCTATCAGAGACCCTTGTGGGGGAAAATTTTGTATGGGATTGAGCGAAGTTTTCTTTCTTATTGGTTTCGTGTGACGATGGAAAATACCGATTTGAAATCCTCTCTCTCTCTTTCTCTCTCTCTCTATGGCTCGTGATTGTTTGGTTCGACTGCGTCAAGCTTTGCACGTTTCGACTTTCCCCTTGATGTTATTAGACGATCGACGTATATAGTTGCTCCTAGTGTTCCACTCAATCTGACGAAAGGGGAAAGAACAACGACTATTTGCTTCGAATTTCCGAAGTGATAAATTTATAATGACTTGTCTTCAGCACGACAACGGTCGATTTCGTCTCCTCTTTTCTTGCTTCGTAATGCTTCGTCGAAAGTTGGATGTTCGTCTCTAACCTAGGTAAGAACAGATCGGTGGTTTASTCTTCTCTGTSTCCCGTGCGTCGTGGATTGTATGGTCCGTTTGATGTTGTTTTTGAAAGTGGTCCTATCGTTGTCTACTGCCGACACAACGGTCTGCACTCGGTCTTTCCTGACAGTTGCGAGTGTGCGAGAAAACAAAAATGCTCTCAACCAAAAAATAAACTTCAAATCGTGCGAAGAATGGAAGTGTAGCGGTAGGTACCAAGTATGTGTACTCTACAATGACATGAAGAATATGACACTGACGTTCACTGCATACGGTAAGATGTACGGTACGGTAAGATAAGAATTCTAACCGACGACGAACGAAAGGACTAACGAAGTATTTTCTTCATTCAGTGCTCCGAATAAGAAGACTTGTCCAGTGCCCTCAAATCTTTGGTGTACCTGATCTTTTGATTGAATCGTGCCATTGTTTTCCTCTTGAAAAGTTCTACCGTATTACAGTATCTTCTTTTGCTTGGGCGAAAGAAACAAACATAMCGTAAAAWATGTGCTGCCGGTACGAAACTCGTGCTCCGTGAATCCATAAGAAAATAGAAAAGTCAAACAAGTAGAAAACAATGGGGAGTTCCAGTAGCAAAACGGAGGCACAAAACAAGAACAGCAAGTGCCAGGATGACTTCGGCACGAAGGTACGAAATGCGGTGAACGACGAGATTGCGAGGAGAGCGATGATGCAGCGCGAAATCCAAATGGCAGTGAACATTGCAAGGACAAGAGACATCCTTTGTGTTTTTGGGACTGCCTGGGGATTCCTCACTGCCGGTGTGGTCACGGCAAAGGCCCTGGGAAAGAAGGTTCCTCCGGTGGCGGGAGTTCCCATCGTCGTCGGGGGCCTTGTGCTCGGAAATTTCTACGACCTGGCCTACGGGAACAAATTACAGCGAGTCGTCAAGGAGGCCGAGCACATCTTGGAGCACGAGCGMGGGCGCTTTGTGCCATTCAAGCAGGCGCCGTTCTCGAAATTCTACACAGACGAAGAGCGCGCAGCCTTGTTCGAGTCGGCTTCGGCGGTAGGGGACTTGTTTCCAAACTCGTTCTATGCGCCCCGGCAGGGTCTKCCCCCGCCACCAACGCCGTCAGGCAAAGAATGAAACTAAGTGAAACAGAAACATGATCATTGCAAAAAAGCCACGAGCAAACATATTGTCTGAAAAATCATTGACACGGGGAACTTTTTCACAATGCATTGTACTACCTAGTATAAACTATATAGAGTATTCCCTACGATAGCAATATTGTAGGTTCAATGGATTATTCTCTTAGATCCATTGAAATGATCTTGGAATACTTCCTGCCGTGAATTACGCATGCTGTACGAAACAKGTGCGATTGTACAGGATTTCATTGTCCAACTTGGTCGCTAAAGGGATAACCTCGATCATGTAGAACGGATTGGGATGCGTCACCTACTCCGTTTCRCGAGTTTCGCAGCTGTACCATTGCGCAGGATTGCCTTCTCAAGAATGAGGTTCTCAATGGAAACTTTYGATGGTATTGAACGGATCGTGATGTGTCGCCTATTGTCCGGTTGAGAAAACGGCATTTCTTTTTTGTCGTCAACGATGATCATGAGTGATTCATATCATCACTTTGGAGTAGACGAGATACAATGATTTTCGTCCATTCCATCTCTTSCCCACGATGTCATCACGGTTCCACCACGACGTGGAATTCGGTTTGTTCCTRTTCAAATAATATGGTTAGTAACCATGTTGTCATTGAAGAACAAAAGTTGTGAATTGTTCCAACACGAAATGGACTCAAGTTACACAAGTTCCATAGAGCAACACCATCCTCCCTTGTCTTACATTTGCAAAGATCAGCGCATCGATGCGTTTTGCAAGGCCGGTGTCCAAGGATGGTGGATTTTGTAAGTAAACAGCTGGGATAGAAGCTTGGGCATTCTGCCTTTCATGAATTGTATTCGTATTCGTACGAACCTCCTCTCAGTGTTGGCTCGTTCAGGGGTCTCCCAAAGGCCGTTGTGGGATGAATGCGGAAACCAAATACCGATGGAGTTGGTCGAGACGAGAACACCGCGTCGGGATCGTTCTCGACACTAGAATCACTGGTGTCGTTGGTTATGCTACCCCTTCGCGACAAAAAGGAACGAGACAGCGGAGATGGTACCACAGATGGTGGTGGTGTGTAAGACGARAGCGATTCCCTTCGGGACGCTGCTTCCGCGAGTTCTCTGGCATACACTTGGGTGCCAAAGGCCAGCAGGAACAAATGACACCAACTCGGACCCCAGGCACACCCATCGGTCTTGGACTCCCATGAGATCCAAACCTCTCCGCACGAGGGGCAGTATCGGTGACAGCACGAATCGTGCTCCTTYCGCATGGCGGAAGTCACYGTGGGGATGGTASCATCGCTCGTATAATCGTTCGAATACCCGTAGGGCAGGAGACCTGTTCCCCGGCAGGTTGATCTGGGACACTTTCCAAAGACTGTGTTGTCCTGGGCCATCACGTGTCGAATGGCTTCCAGGCCCCGYGGGCTGACCACAAACCGGGCGTGAAGCATGAGATAGAGGGTCTCGGCAGCTTTTTGAACCGCGTACGGTGGGATGATCAAGTCTTCTTCTACCATCGAATCATTTTCTTCTCCTTCCTCCTTCAATATGAGATGGAGAGCACGTCTATAGATGACATACGAAGACGCGGACTTCGATTGCGTTGTTCCGTTCGACTCGGCTTCCGCCGCTTTGGCGATTCGGTGCTGTTGAAGAGCCTTCGCTACCGAAATGGCATTGTCTCCCATAGCCTCATATCCGATGCGTTCCACAATGGGAGGCAATTGCGCCAAATTGAAGTTATCAGATATGTAATCCCTAGGGAGGGGCAGCAACCGGTCTATTGAATRACACGAGAGAAGCAAACGAATGCAACAAACGTGAATAAGCGTGTTTTAAGGAATCCTCCGACAGTGTGCAAGCGCATTGRAGTGTAGTACGTACCTTTCGGCCTTCCCGCTAAGAATTTGCGAACCCAGGGAGTTGTGCCCGAGGTTGTGCCCGAAGTTGTGGCCGGTGAACCCTGTTTCGTGCGGGYGACACTACCGRCAGCGGGTATCGGTGCAGCAGTGGTTTTCCTCGGTGTTACAAATGCTGGACTACCGGGCGCGGAAACCGGACGCTGGACAATGCCAGTGGTTGCGCTCGTAGTCTTTGGCACGGTTGTTGCCATCGGTTTGGGTTTGTTGGTTTGGGGTTGTTTGGTAGGAGAGGTCGTGTGGCTTTTCTTCATCATGGTAGAAATCTTGTGCGAATAGGAAGGCACCTCCCATGTGGTGCGGTCGGGATGYGATTTTGGTGCCGACGCAAACGAAGACGCTCGCGGCATGGTCGGCGAGACCGCAGCGCCGGCCATCGGTTTGCTCTCCCCCGAGCTTGTGGCAGCGATGTGGTTTGTCGACCCTGAAAATTCTTTTTYRTTCAAAGAATTGTCGCTTTTGACTTCTCCTCCTGTTCCACTTCTTTTGTTCGATAGTTTGGCATTCCTTTTCTTTGTTTTCTTTTTCCTTCGTCGTCGTTTCCTTGTCGAGGATCCTTTTCGCAACGACGATTTCGGTTTCCGCTTTGGTTTTTTKATGCTTCGAAGACTCCGGCTTCCCAATTCTTGTTCCCGTTCCAGAGCCTCGAGAATTTGTTCTGCCTTCTCGAGCTTTCTTCTTCGGTTTGATCTCGGCCGTTTCTTGGCACTGCTACTGCCGTTKCTGTTGCTTCTGCCTAGGTCTTCGACGTCCAAGAATTCATCGGAAGACGACGAAACGGCCTCGTCGGGATCAAAATGGCTGGGTGAAGAGGGCGAGTGAAAGCTGCCATCCGAATCGTCGAGGCTAGGGAAAAACACGTCGTACTCGCCACCATCGCCATMGCYTTCGCCACTGCTGCCGTCGCAATCGTCCGCGTCGACCCGTCGACGACGGCGTCGGCTCAGGGGTGGATCGCCGYGGGGTGCTGTCCCACTCCGCCGCTGGCGGTGGCTCGGCACCCGGTAGGGGGAGGATGCCTTTGCCRGTCCGGGGACTAACAGCAACAGAAGAACGGCAGAGTAGATGGACATCGCCAAGAKARCAACTCKTGCCGAAACGGGGGCCCTCATCTTGCACCACTGGTAGGATAGTGTGCCACGCTACCGGTATGCAAACGATGCGAGCGAGTCTTGTTWCCGATCGTCGACGTACGGAAAAAAGATTGTGWGCTCCTGCACTCTGTCGGCAGGAGACGACGACTCACTCGRAGGGTATCTGACACGAAGAAAAAATGTCTATCGAATATTCGCAAAGTGTCGTTGGCTGGTCTACTAGTACTACCAATAATGTTGTTGGTTGCGATGAATGGATAAACTATCTTCCAATAMGTAACAAACCGGACGGCGTCAACAACTAAACTCGGTCGTTAGTAGGTCGATAGAATATGATAGCATCGAGTAATRWATCCYCTAGAACAGAAGGTATTGCAATCCATCAAGCTGAAAAAACACATGATGCAAAAGACTCGGTGATGTTATTGGTTACTTCTACAAAATTCACGGGCAGGGGCAACGGCAGTCCGAAAAAGGCGCCCCTTTCTGTACTGGATATTATCGCCAAACGGACCGTAGAGTACGATACAGTAGAAAAGGTACAGAATCATACGATTACGCAAATTAGGCACCTGYAAATGGTTCCGAGTAATTTCAGACTTTTTGACGCAAAAACGAGAAGCATCCTGAAATGAAAACTGCCTCCTTGTCGACGTGGCAAGGAATAAGCCAATCAGAATAGTCAGATTAGATCTCTGTAGCCGTGGGTAAGGTATCGACCGTTGATACCAATGTACCGGTACGATTACGAGTAAGTACTCTTATTATAAGGAAGAGAAAGTGGTAAGTGGTACTGTATGGTAAAAGTAATAGGCCATACGTATTACTCGTAACTCGTACCTTAGTCCAGAATCAATAATCATTAATCAATACGAAGTACGAGTACGTACGGTACGTACGGTACTGTGCTTTAGTATTACAATGCGTACCATATGTATCATGTGTTTGAGGAGTACGTACGTATCACTCTCGAACAACTGAGCAGTCGTCATCTTYAATGTTTTCGAGAGGGCTCGTTTCTGGCATTACAAGTACGTATTCCKACGTACAAAGTGCAAAGAAGCTACTTACTTACATCGTTGTAAATGMGCTCAACATCAAGAGGTTAGTCCTCCTCAAGGATTGAAGTTAAATTTCGGTTACTACCGCACATCCACACTGGACGTAATGRAGTGGTAATCGGTAATCGGCTACGAATACTTAACAAGGCTGGGAAAAAACTACAGTACTSTCGCTTGGATTGCGAAAGAAAGGCCCCTGTGTGTCTTTGTTGTAGTTGTAGGGAAGCAGAAAGCTGGGAAACGCCAAATAGTACCACCAAAGCAAAGGAAAACGACGCGAGTTGAAACTACTCGRAACTAGACGCAACGCATCAGCATGACCCCCCAAGGAGTCGGAAGCGGCTTCCAACGGCGGGKGATCGCAAACAGCAGGAGAATCGAATCCATCGTGCGCGGGGACAGCATCGAAAACGGCAACGGGGGCCGGGAAGAGAGCAACAACGACGTCGAATACAGCAACAACTACAAGCGCGGATACCCCATGGAGTATGGCCCAATCTACTACGCGGCCGCCACCATTCTACTGGATTGCTCCAAGAGGAAGGGATTTACGGCTCCGAAGGCCATGCGACTGGTGGGATTCTCGCAGGAAGACTGCAAGAGCCGCAGCATACGAAAGAGGGTGGGCCGGGTCCGGGATCGGATGGAAAAGCGACGGGTTGCCGCCCGGACCGCCCGCCAAAAGCGGCTGCTCAAACTCTACGAGAAGCGGATGAGGCCGGTCCTRGCATCGCTTTCGAATGAGGAAGGCCAAGGGGACGCTGGCGGAGACGACTCCGATACGAACCAMGAAACYAAAAAGAAAAACAATGGCGGCGAGAACACCGCTGCCCCGGTTCCGGAACTGGYCCGGGAAAAGGTCCGCGTGTATTGCGAACGAATGCAACGGCTGGGACAGGCGGGCAACGCGGAAGCGGAGGGGATTCTGAAGGAATGGGAGGAGCGGCTAGCCGACTCGGAACGTCGGAGGTCCCCAAGGTTGCTCTCCCAGCCACGGGCCACCACCAAGTAGTGCTATTGCAACACCAAGCAAACTCCCGTGGCAAGACGGAACCCAGCCCAACGAATACTTTCGAATCAATACTCACCACACTGCGACGCTCGTGACTCGTTCACATCCCAGCAATTGCAGACGGCWAAACACAGCAAACAGTTTTGTTGTTTAGAAGGTTCAATAGAATAGTAGCAAACAAAACGACGCRTCCTCTGCAGCGATCCGAGCGAGGCATTCGTCACAACCGCTGGCGTKTTCGTTGTTCAGTTCTGTCCTGTTCTATTCTATTCTATTCTATTCGTTCATTCCAACGGGTCACTTTGATGAATGGCCATCGAGTGGCACMTGGCACAAAATTTCTACTCCCATGACAAAATTTGATCCAAGAGCAATCGAAGAGGACCTGTGCGTGTCGTACAAAATACGTGCCAGGAAGGAATTGGACCTATGGAATCATTTTTGGAGAGATAAGAACGCAACCAGGCTCGTTTCTTTCATACCGTAAAGTATTTGGGTTCAGAACTAGTGGATTATGGAATTAAAATAGAATCATTAGTAGAACTAGCCCTGATTTCATCTTCCTTTGCCGTCCTTTTGTTTGACAAGGATCAAAYGAGAGAAGGTGGCAAGATTAGATGTGGGTTTTCAAACTCTGCTGTTGCCTTGACTTCCCATCCATTCCTCTGTGGAATCCGATTCCCTCAGGACTCCCGCTCTGCTTCCTCGGCYGGAACGACGGAGATCGCGGGAAGCGAARCGTAGGTTTCTGCGCGGCGCTCGTCCTCCTCCAGGAACGGCAGCACGTTGGCAACGTGCCGCATGGTGGGCCGCCCGTGGGGGCAGTTCCAGGGGGAATCGGTMTCGGACAGCTTCTGCACGACGGCCTCCATTTCCTTGCGGGAAAGGGCCGTCCCGATCATGATGCTGGTCCGGCAGGCCCGGCTGGCAAACATCGCGATGGCCTTGGGCAGGCGGGCCAGCAGGCGGTCGGGGGTCTCGCTCTGACTTCCGCCGGCGTGCCGCCGCACCGCGTTGTTCCCGTAGAGCCCGGTGCCATCGGTCCCCGTCCCGCCGGAACCGGCCTCGTAGGAAGAACCCTCCGTGAGGATCGCACAGAGGGCCGATACGTCCGAGGGTCCAAAGGCGACGGCCTTGCGGCCCTCGTGGGCGCCCGAGTGGGGCAGGGAGGTCAGCGACAGCCGGTGGCGGATGGGAGCGGTTTCGTCGAATCGGAAGCGGAATCCRTTCGAGGCAAAGACGTCCATGTGGTCCAGAACGCAGGCTTCCTCGGACGGATTCAGCTCGAGGGGCAGGGGCCGTATSAGKGGCTGGACGTGCATGACCGTCTTCTTACAGAGCTGCTCGAAGTTGTATTTTTCGTCGCAAGCGTGCTGGTCCATGATCCAGAGGTGGTTCTGCGGGCATCTCGCTARTATGAAACCGAGATTGAACTGACCAATCACCTGCATGCCGCTGCGAAACGTGGACTTGGAGATTCGAATGAAGGGACTGCTCGAAGAGGAATCCTCGTCGTYGTYATCCCTACCATAGTCTTTTTCCTCGCTTGCGTTGGCCCCKTGGGAGGATTCATTASGTYTGGTATTGATRTCTGCTTGTCGAGCAGATTTACTGTTCCTGTCTGAGATTGACTCTTTGAGCAATCGTCKATTGCCATGGACGTCCTGCACTCGTTTGCGCATCAGAAGCCTTTCCGCTCTGGAATCCGAGCAGATCCTTTCTGTTGAAGAAAAGGCTTCCCATACTACCKGGGGCTCGGTGCCCGCATCGGTGGTACTATCTCCCTCATCTGGGTTGSACTCCTCTGGTGCAATGGAAGAGGGAMTCGTYCTTTCGGTTTCAATTTCCATCGATTCGTCCTCGTCCCTTTTTTTTCGTTTCYTGGATGATACGCGGGGTGATTCTTTTCCATCACCAGCAAACGAGTTGTTAACATGGGCGGCCGCGTACTTTTTACTTGCTCCATCCCTAGAGCTAGCGGAGCTTTTCAAAGGTGGCGCTTCSTTGATATCCGGTGGGCTTACAGCGGGTTTACGGCGGCGTTTGTGRGCAAGGTTGTTTCTATTGCTGCTACTRCTGCTGCYGCTGTTTAYGTCTRCGACTCCACTGTCCGCCGATGCCTGGCACGCAAATTGACTCAGAAATCCACCTCTCTGGTTTTGCTTGCTATTGTTGTTGCCGGCTCCATCGGTAKATGCGTTGTGGGCGAATTTCCTCAGGTGACTGTTGAGATCGAGCCGCGATCTTGTGGRAGAGGAAGGCRCTCTCGGAGGAGAACTATCGCCCCCGCTTGTCTTGCTAGCCGTAGCAGTATTTGYAGTTGAAGCAGAAGCATCAATGACTTCTTCGGGGGTGACCGGTGGGTTTGTTTCCACCGTCGTATTCCGGGCATAGCCCCCTAGTGAAACCGATCTCGAAAGGATATGCTGGTCGTCGCTTTGATGGGTTTCGTCTTCAATTTCTCGTCCACTCGGAGGATCTTCGTCGCGATCGCCCCTCGCAAACCTGGATTGGACTTCCATCCATTTCCGGCGGTCGGAATCGGAAATTTGATCCAGGGGGGCTGACGTAGGAAGRTGGCCCGTTTCGTTCTCCGTGGAGGAACAATCACCACCATCCTCTCCAGTTGTGGGTGATTCCCGCTCACTTTCGCTCTCGCCTTGAGGTTCGGGGGTCGGTGGATGGGATGCGGCTGCGGCTGCGACCGGGCTCGGCTCGGTGAATTGTTCCTTTGGGGGGCCGAGATTTTGCCCCCCTGGCTCGTTTGGTGGTGGCACGATCGTCTTCGTCGCCCTGGTTGCCTCCGTGTCAGTGGATCGGCGGCGGCGCAACCGCCTCCCGCCGTTTTCTCGGCCGGCGGATTCGTGCTGCATCTTGGCTTTTGAAATGTCGTGGACAAAGGCAAACCTTCGCTTGTGCTGGGGGGTWTCGCCGTTTTCGCCTTGTTGGCATTCGTGCTCGGATTCGTATCCGTGCCCGGGATCGCCGTCCCCTCGCGGCGTCGCTTCCGGTTCGATGCCTGGTGTTTGTGTCTCCTTCCGCACGTCTTGGTGTTCCGACRTCGCTGGCGGTGCTTTTGCGGCCGCATCGCTCCGGGGGCTTTCGCGGTCGCTTCCGATGGCCCGTGCCGCTGYTTTCCGACCGAGGTTTGCTTCCGGAGAACCCTCGGCAAAGACGGCCGACGATCGGGCCGATCCGCCCCAGAGCCCCGAGACGTGTTCCCGAACCATCTCCAGGAGGTCGTCCCCGTGGGTGAACAAGACGGTCTTCTTGTCGGGYGAGAGGTTGATGTCGAAGGCATCGTTCGGCAGCGTGAACGCCAGAATCGCCGAGGGCTTCTTGGGGGGCTTRTACTGACCCGAAGMCGACGACAGCGACGCCTTTGCCGACGACAAGGATTCCGTCCACAGTTTCTTGAGAAGGGCCGTCACTCCCGGAAGCTCCACCACACGGCCGTTGATGCTGTAGTACTGGACGGACCGGACACGGGCCTGGTGGCTGCCGCTGCCGTGTTTCCCCCCGTGCTGCCGCTGCTTGGCGGCCAGCTGCGAGTGCTCCCGTGACACCAGGCCCCGGATCCCCCAGTTGTAGCACGTCCCGTCGTCGTTCTTCCGGCTCCCCTCCGTTTTCCGAAAGAAGGATTCCAGCGAGACCTCCACCGTTGTCATCCCCTTGACAAAGGCCGGCCCCAGCAAGGTGCTCGCCGTCTCCTCGAGGGTCCGGGAGGACGAACTGGTAGCCAGGCCGACTTCCTCCCGGTGCACCGCGCCGCCGCTGCTCTTGGCCATGTCGATGAGCCGAATGCCGACGCCGACATTGAACACCCCGTAGGATTCCACCAGCTTGAAGAGCTTGGTGCGCTCCTGCTTGATCCTCCGGACCAGGTCCGCCCGACGGGCCGGGAGGTTCCCGAAGGGCTTTACCACCGCGACGGTCGTTCCCACCTTTCGGGCGAGTTTCGGAAAGGTTTGTCCCCCCGGCTGCCGTGGCTYGGGGGCAAACGAAGGAGATTCCGCGTGGTGGGTGCCGGGGGTTGCATCCGCATCCGCGTCCGCACCCGAATCCCCCGCCACCGGCWGCCCGTCTGTTCCGTAGACGACTTTGGTGGCCAGCTCGTCGTCCTCGGTGCGGGAGGCGACCACCAGCGAATCGCTGACGCAGGCCATGGCGAAGAGTGCCTCGCCCCGGAATCCCATGGTCATCCCGGTCCCCTCGTAGATGTCACCCAGGGTTTTGATCTTGGACGTGGCGTGCCTCGTGGCCAGGTAGGGGAGGGATCCCACCGGCACACCGGTGCCGTCGTCGGACACCTCGATGATCTCGAGTCCCTGCCCGAACAAGCGGACTACGGAAGGGMATGCAATGCAATGCAATGAATGGTACGGGATCGAAGAGCGCGGAATGAAACAACATCGATTTCGATGAGAGCAGACCGAAAACTAATTGTTTGCCTCAGAGAGAAAGCGAAGCAAAGCAAAATGGCCCATCCAATTGGTTTTGTACCGCATTTCGTTGTACGACAAAACAAAGCACAATCACTCACTCTTTATGGTCGTGCTCTCCGCATCCAGTGCATTGTCCAACAATTCCTTGACGATACTGGTCAGATCGGAGATCGCCTGCTCTGCCGTGATCCGTCGCACGGTGTGCTCGTCGAGGCGCTGGATTTCCGAKGTCTCCGGCAGCGGCGGTGGTTCTTGCGGCTTTTGCGAGCAGGCAGAAGGAGCAGCAGCAGCAGCAGCAGCTGTAGCTTGCAGCAGCCCTCCTTGTGTTTTCTGTCGCGGCTCGTGGTGGTCCGAATCGTCCATGGTTCCGGGGCGGGCCGTAAATGGTGCAAATGCAACGTGCTATCCCGTGTTCTGCTGCAATGCAATGCTGTGCTGTGCTGTGCTGTGCTGTGCTATGCTCGTCGTCGAGCAGAATGCGTACTTGTACTCGCAGCGAGTATGTTCTTTTTCTCTTGGCGCGCTGGGTTGTGTTGTGCAGCGTCCATGCCGCGCCGCTCCGTGCGGTCTATTCTTCGGATCGGCCACCCGATCGGAGAGGGTCGGAGACGCACGGGGTGGAGRCGAGCGACCAATTCTGCCGGAGCTACCACYAGAGGTGCGTGTTGGCGATCGTGGAACGGGATGCAGCGACAGGGGYGTGTTGCACCGCTGGAATCGTATCGTATGCAGCGGCAACGGGCCGAGACGATCAATGGTGGACGAGCAACGGAGCCAAAACGTGCGGACAGGACACAGTACTCTCCTTGTCTTCTATTGTCTCGGCACTCGTGCACTGCTTTTCTGCCAGCCTTCATTTGGCGCCATACCTTCTGGCCTTGAGGTTTGCGGTACGGTACCGTGCATCGGTGAATCACAAGATGGATTGGCATTACACTTTGAAAAAGGGCTACTACAGTACATCTGTGGTCCTTCAGTAGAATTTTTTTTCTGTTTTTTTTCTATTCTTCTTGACTGATGTGAGTAGTAGTAGTAGTAGTAGTAGTAGTAGTAGTAGTAGTAGTAGTAGTAGTAGTAGTAGTAGTAGTAGAGCCAACTGAACATATCTCTTTGGTGAACTTTTCCACCCAATTTCAAAGAATCAAACACTTGCTGAACTAGGCACTACTACTATGTTTTCCACCCTCATACAGCATACAATTATTGTACTACTACTACTAGTACTCTTGTTTTTGTTGTTGCTACTCCTGGCCTGCTGCTGGTGGGGGTGCTGGTGCCAGCACCACCACCA